GGTGAGCCACGAACGCAGGCGAGACAGAAACCAAGGACCGAACTTCACCCGAGGCTTCGTGCAAGGTCCAGGGGTCAGCAAACGTCAGTACTTTGGCTGCAGTGAGGATCAGAGCTGCAACAGGGTCCTTGACTTGCGCCCAAGGGCGGGCTTTCGCCGCGGTGGCCTGCCCTTCGGTAAACAGAAAGCGCAGCGCAGTGGGACAGGCGGCAATCTCTGAGTATCTGCACATCGGTTTTCATAACATCAGCGGTGACCAAGAGCACGGGGTCTCGGGTCCAGACGCGACGTGAGCATATGGACGCTTATTCCAAAGAGCAGCCTCGAGGAAGGCGCCCTTCGGCGCGCAAAGCGGCGACCCTAAGTTGTTTAAGTTTGCCGTCGGGGAGCCCTTGGACGTTGGCTGCCCAAAGAGCCTTGGCCGAGCCCCCCGCCCGAAAAAGCAGACCCCGCTGGGGCTCCAGCGTTCCGAAGGGCCACGAGTTTTCCGACCTTGGCTTGGGCGGCGCAAAAACGATCGTGGTGAGTACTGATTCGCCTGTGGCTGCCGCCGGTCGCGTCCCCTCCGGGGTCTCGGTGGGCTCGGGCGCGCACCGATTCGGGGAGGTCACAGTCAAGGGGGGCCACGTCCGCCACCTCCCCCGAGGAGGAGAGGAGGCCGAGCTTGTTGCGAGCCCTTTGCTTTTAAGGTCTGCCGTCACCGTGTTAAAAGCTTCCCTTGCTCCTTGCGAACGACCTGCTTGCCTCCGACGGCGTGCAGCGAAACGTCATCGATGCCATTGTTTATCCAGACGACTGGGCTGGCCGTCGCTGCGCGCCGCAGACAGGCCAAGAGAAGCAAGCGCGACAGCGTAGTGGCCCCAGAGCACCCTGCCACCACCGTGCCGTTGGGCACGAGGACTCGGCTGACAGCGCCTTGCCGAGAGACTCTGCGCGGCGCTCTATACATCGAACAGTAAGCCCTCAACAGGGCTTCCGAAAAACCTGCGTGCTTGGCGGCGTCTCGCAGCTCTTGGTGCGAGATGTGTTCATAGAACCTACGCAGATTTATAAAGAGTGCGCTGGATGCCCACCCAGGCTGGGCACGGGCATCAGCTGCAAGCGCGTTGTGGACCCAAGCGCTTTTTCGCAGGCTGCGTTGTGCTCAGCCCCCAGAAGAAACGCTCATTAACACGACGCTCCCATTCTGAGCACAGCCTTTGTCTGATTCTGCTCCAAGCCCTCGCCCAGAGGGGAAGCAGCCCGATCGGTCGAACTCCCCCCGACGGCTTGTCAAGGAAAGCGATCAGCATTAGCCGCGTCGGTCCGACTTTCGGGTGCCTTTCCCAAGCCGAGAGGATGGCCGCGAAGGCTTCAACAAGCGGCCGAGGGAGCTGCAACAGTAGCCGCGGGCTGAAAGAGTTCCAGCCCAACGCCGTAGTCGGGCTGAAAGAGGCCGCCGCTTCAAGCACTTGCTCTGCTGCGATTGGTTCGAGCGTCTCCTCCACTGGCCAGTCTAGAGGATGCTGCTCCCCTTCGCGCGCTTCGCTGGTCCTGATGGGGATCCACCCCTTCAAAGTCTGCTCTTGAGCGACCTGGCCCACCAGAAGCGTAGGCATATTAGCCGCAGTATCATGGTCATCGTCGTCTGCAAAAACTGGCAGGGGCGGAGGGGCAGGCAGGGCCTTCGCTATACCTGTGAGCGACGCGACCCTGCCCAGCGACCGACGACTTCGCCCGCGACTTCCACTTCTGTCGACCACCTGCCGCCCCCTGCTCCACCCTGCTGGTGACCTCGGCTTGGGCCGCGTCCGCTAGCGGCCCTCGAGTCGCGCCGTCGGCCGGCTGCTTGAACAATTCGGGCGCGGTGGTCTTCGCAGCTTCTCCTGGCCCGCCTCGGCAAACACGCTTTCAAGTGGCGTAACTAGGTTGACCAGCTGGGCCTGGGTCTGAGGCTTTGTAGCTTTCAGAAATTGGAGCGACAGGCGGCGCTGCGAGAGCTACTTCTGAGTGGACAGGTTCGATCGTCGGTAGAGCTCTTGGCCCCGAGCGGCTCGCAGCGGCACGAGCTGGATCTGACATCCTTTGTGTCTGCCACGGTACTTGGCATCCGTCAAACCGTGGACCTCAGACAGGGCCTTTCCCGCGGAGGTGAACCGTCTGGGCGCGGCGTCCAGGCGGTCCAGGCCCAGCAAAACGGGGCCGTCCCAGGCTCTTGAGAAAACCATATGTTGCTTTTCCTCCTCATCCACGGGCAGGGGGGAGCGTTTGGTCGCGATGCGCTTCCAAGCCTTGGCCTGGCCAGCCAGCGCGCGCAGGCGAAGGGCCACCGCCGAGCGCGGCCCTGCCGGTGCGTCGGCCACCGCGGCGCACCAGTCGACGCGGTAGTCGAGGCACCCGCTGACGACGAAGAAGTCGCAGCAGCTGTCGTGACAGGTCGCTCCTTCTGGCCGAAGGATGCTGGCCCCAAGGTGCCCGGTCCACTGAGACTGCCCGAGCTCCTCCGCGTCAATATTCCAGTCACCTCCAGTCGCGAACGGGCTGCTGGCCTCGGCGACCACAGCGCTGACCTGCTCCAGAAAGTCGAAGTTGGCGCCGCTGAGCCCGAGCGTGGGCGTTGTGCGCCAGAGCCACTCGGCAGACCGTCACGCGCTCGCCGAGGTACCGATGCTGGTAGTCCGCAACGCCGAAGTGACTGCGCACGAGTGCCGCCGTGCCAGCTGACGGCCCCCTGTCCGTCGTTCCCAGTGCTGGCCGCGGGCTGAAAAGCAGGGGCGCGCCCCGCCTGATGGGCCCAGGCCCTGGGGCCCTGGGCTTGATGCGGGGGCAGGCGGTGCTCCTGGAATAGAACAGCATCATATACTGTGGCTTTGACCAGCTTCGACCATTCCAAAAAACTTGAGACGAGTCGACCTAACGTTAGAATTGTAGGTGACCGCAGCGAAATGTGAGAGCGCCTTTCTGTCTCCCACGGGCGGCGGCGGCCGGCCGCGAGCAGATTGGGGGGGGTCGCTCTCGTCAGTGGACTCGGCCATCCGCGCATCCGCGGCGCTGACGAGAGGCTGGACTCGACCAAAGGGATCGCCCATCTGCATGTCTGCGGCAGTGGTCAAGAGCCCGCTACCTTCCGCCCCCCTTCAGGGCTTGCCGTTGTGGATCCCCAAGGGCGCCAGAGCGCCCCGAGAGCGGCGGCCGCCGCCTCGCCCCATCTAGGGCCTGCGCCTCGGGCTCCCCAAGGACGCCGTGGTGCCCCGCAGCCGTCCTCCTGCGCCTTTCCAGCTGTGCTCGAACAAAGGCCAGTCGGTTGCCGAGCTCCTGCCAGTGGTGCCGCGCAAAAGCGCTCCAGAGGTCAGCCGTGAGAGCGTGCATCATGCGGAAGAGACGTTGTCTGAGCGGCCGCCCTCTTGACCAAGCAGCAAGACAGATGTATGAAATGGCTTCCGTCAGTGCGTTGGTTTGTAGTCCGCGAGAATCGCCCGACGCAGAGCCGCCGAATATGGTTCCTTCAGAAAAGAAGCCATGCATTGTCCACGCCAGTCTTGCCACGCAGAACAGTCATCAGCCACCGAACCCATCTGGCGCTCCAGGCCTGCGTGGATTCTAACAACTCTTGCCGACTCATATCGGGATCTCTGGCAGGGGAGGCGCGCTCGGGCGGCAGGCCCGTCTGCCCCAAGAACCAGTCGCACGGGGGCATGCCCCAAAGACAAGTCACACTGGTCAAAAGGTACCCCGTGACCCCGTCAAAGGCAAGACTCAGCAGTGTGAGCTCGGGCTGCTTCAACCATAGCTCTGATCTGGTCAGGGTCGCGCTGCGTTGGCTGTGATTGGCCTGGGCCAGCTGCGGCTGCAGGAGCAGCGCCAGCGACGGCAGGGCCCACAGAAGACGCTGCCCCAGCACTGGCGTCCACTTCGGCAGGAGCCGCTGGTGCCCCTGCTGCTGGCGGCGTCGCTCCACCACCGTCTTCCTTGCGGGCCCGTTTGCTGGCGAGCCGCTGTCGCATCTCTCGCGCCTTCTGCCTGAGCCTCTGGATGTGCTCCGCGCTGGGCCCTATTGCCGCCAAAATTGCCTCTCGGATCGGCGATGCCATGTTGGACCCGAGGGCGGCCCAGCTTTGCTTATCTGAACCATCGAGCTCCAAGTCCGAAAGGTCGAGCACGACCCCGTCCACAATCTCGATTGTGTCCACGCCTGCTCGGCGTCGTGCGCCTCGGTCGCTGCCTGCGCCGTGGCGGCCCGCAGCTGCTCGAGCCACTTGGCCGACTCGTCCGCAGGGGCTCGCGCGGGGGGGGCTTCGGCGCTGGCGGTTGCGCCAAGGCCTGCTGGAGCGCCTCCAGCTCTGCACCCGCCGCGTCACCGACCCTGGCCTTGAGCTCGTCCAAGAGGGCGTCGGTGGTCGGCGGCGAGACCCGCTGCGGCGGAGTGGAGGAGCGGGGCGGCGCCAATCTCGCAGGCGGCCCTCCCCACTGCGGCCACGTGCCTGGAGGGTAGGCTGGCACTCCCGCGCCGGCAGGTTGGCCACCCTGACCTGGCGGCGGGGCGGCCCAGGCACCATGGGCGGCCTTCCACGGCATCTCGTTCGGGAGGAGGATCGCTTTGCAGGTGTCGCAGAACGCGTTCGTCTTGAAAGTCCATCGATATCTGCACGCCGAGCAAGTGAGGTATCCTTTCGCATCCTTCGGCATGGGCTCCTCCAGGGGCTCACTGGTAAAGAAAACTTGCCCGTGATGACACAGAGGTTACCTTATCGCGTGATGTGGCCTGGCTGGTGATGCCAGGGAAAACAGGTGGGGCCGCTCATCCCTTTGCCAGAATCTCAAGTGCTGAGCGAAGCGCTACGGACTTAAACTAAATGGCTACGGACAGGAGGAGAAGGAAGAGGAGGAGGAGGAGGGGGAGGAGGAGGGAGATGAGGGAGGAGGAGGAGGAGGAGGAGGAGGAGGAGGAGGAGGACGAGGAGGAGGAGGACTAGGAGGAGGAGGAGGAGGAGGAACGGGATGTGTAACAGCAGAGCCCCGAGGTGGAGCAGAATCCCCTTGCCGCCGCCGACCGGCCCAGCTCCAAAGGAGCAGGACTCCTGGTGAGCCTTGGCTGTCGCCGCCGCTGTCGCTCCCTTTCTCGCTGCGACTCCCGCGCCTCGCGGGATGGGTCGGTTGGTGGGGGAGGAGGAGGAGGAGGAGGAGGAGGAGGAGGAGGAGGAGGAGGAAGAGGAGGAGGAAGAGGAGGAGGAGGGGGAGGAAGCGGACCAATGTAAACCCAAGAGTCATCAACGACGTTGGGACAAACAACCCTCCCTCCAAGCTCCGTCTTCATAGGCCCCTACACCGGTTCATTTCCATTGAAGGAAGTGCTTTTTCGGAAGGCAAGCGTTTGAAAACCCTGAAGCATGCCAAAACATTGCTCTCGGGATCTAACGCCACGGGTCAACTTGACTTTAGCGTCTTGACAATCTGAACCGTGCCAGAACGCCGTTCCTGGGACTTCACACAGCGAATCATAATAAATGCTGCACCAGCATAATCAAATCACCATTTCTGGCACGCTGATGATGGGAATCCCTGAATCTCTTGCAAAAGTTTAAAGCTAACCTGCGCCGCGCTAGTGCGAGAACCACATTTTGAAAGGAAGCCGCCCTCAACGTGAAGATCATGCATTTTTATATACATATCCCATGTGCGCGGCGCTGAGACGAGAGTCACATTTTGAAAGCGTCCTGCACTCGATCCGTGAAGCTTTTGTGAAGTTAGATGATACCGGAGAAAACCCAACCAGAGTCTTTTTGATCTTACATTCGAACCCTTTGCACTTGCTCCTTTGGCTTATGAAGTCTGCAAGGGCTATGAAGGCCATGAGGGCTATCAGGCTATAGGGCGATAAGGCTGTAGGGCTACATTGCTATGGGCTATAGAGCTATAGGGCTATAGGGCTACAGAGCTGTAGGGCTATAGGGCTATAGGACTGAAGGGCTGTAGGGCTATAGGGCTATAGGGCTATAGGGCTATAGCGTTATAGGGCGATAGGGCTTTAGGGCGATAGAGCACCCGGGCACCCGGGCACCTGGGCACCCCCGGGCACCCCCGGGCACCTTCGGGCACCCCAGGGCACCTCCGGACACCCCTGGGCACCTCCGGGCACCCAGGCACCGACATCGGCGACGTAGCTCACCTACACATATGAATCCGCTAGGACCCCTACTGAGGCAAGCTCTGATTGGGGAGAAACGAATGTGCGCCGCGCTACGGCGAGAGCCACCTTTTTGAACAGGAGTCGCCCTCAACCCATGAAACTCTTCAAATTCTTGAAACGAATGTGCGCCGCGCTAAGGCGGGAGCCTCATTTTGAGAACGACCTGCTTTCAATCAGTGAACTTTTGTAACTCTGCAAAAAACGAAAGTACGCCGCGCTGAGGCGAGAGCCAAATTTTGAAAACGACCCGCCCTCAATCCGTGAAGCTCTTGTAGTTTTTTAACGAATGTTTCCCTCGCTAAGGCGAGGTCACATTTTGAAAACGACCCGGCCTCCAACTGTGAAACTGTTGCCAGTGTTTAAGCTTCAGAGTCATAAGTGGTGAGGAACTCTCAGGCGAAACGCCCAGCCCGCCCTAAAAACTGGCCTCGGGGTGCGACAGGGAGAAGTTATTCAATCGCTTCGCTCATTCCGCCGGCCCATGTTGCATGATCGCTACTGCTTCGCCGTGGGCCCGGGGCCATTGTGGCGCCGCCGAGGAGGAGGAGGAGGAGGATGAGGATGGGGAAGCGGAGGGGAGGAGGAGGAGAGGATGAGAGGGAGAGGAGGAGGATGGAGATAAGTAGGAGGAGGAGGAGGAGGAGGAGGAGGAAGGGGAAGGGGCGGAGGAGGAAGCCTCTCGTTGGCATCTTGTGTTGCTCTTGGGGCCAAACAGGGTCGTCGTCAAGATGCTTCTTTGGGAGGTCTCTTGGGGTCTTTTGAGAAGCCGTTCGGGGGCGCCTGGGAGGCATTTTTGAACTTCTGGGGCCTCTTGGGGCCTCTTTCGGGCCTCCTGGGGGCCTCCTGGGGCCTCTTGGGGGCCTCTTGGTGGCATCTTGGGGCCTCCTGGGGGCCTCTTGGGGGCCTCTTGGGGCCTCCTGGGGCCCTCTTGGGGCGGAAGGCTCGAGTGTTCGGTTCGTGGTCCTCCTCTTGGGCCCCTCTTGGGGCCGTCTTGGGGCCGTCTTGGGCCGTCTTGGGCCGTCTTGGGCGCCTCTTGGGCCGTCTCGGGGCCCTCTTGGGCCCTCTTGGGGCCCTCTTGGAAGCCTCTTGGCCCGTCGTGGGGCGCTCTTGGGGGCCTCTTAGGCCGCCTTGGAGCATCGCATGGCCGAAAAGGCGACAAGGCCCAAATCCTTCCAAATCAAAGGAAAGTTTATGATTTTGGCCTGTCGGGCCCTCTTGGTGAGGCCCTTGGAGGCCACTTGGAGGCCTCTTGGGCCGTCTTGGAGTCATCATTGGCGTCTTGGAGCGCTCTTTGGGCGTCTCGGGGGCCTCTTGGACCGTGGGACCTCTTGGGGTCCTCTTGCACCGATTTGGAGCCCTCTGGGGCTCCAAAAAAGAGTTTCTGCATCCTTGAACAGGACTTGCCGGGAGTCTGCCAGGGTACTTTTCGTCCGGGGACCCCCAGGGCCCGCCCCGCGCGCGCGAACTAGAAATATGGTTAACCAGTTACCGGAGATCTTAGCACGCCTCTGGCCCGTTGGGCCAGCGAATTTATATGGAAAAGGAATGAAGGACCTGGAGGAGGAGGAGAAGGAGGAGTGGGAGGAGAGAAGGAAGAGACCGAGCAGGCGGAGGAAGTGGAGGAGGACGAGGATTGATATGGGAGGATGATGCTGATGGCGATTTCGGCGATGCTGATAATGCTGATGAGGATGACGATGACGATGACGATGACCATGTCGACAATGATCGTCGTGGTGGTGGTGGTGATGATGATGATGATGATGTCCATAATGATGATGCTGATGTTGATGCTAATGCTGATGCTGCTGCTGATGACGAGGAGGAGGATGCTAACGCTGATGCTGATGCTGATGATGATGGTGACTATGCAGATAATCATGCTGCTCCTGCTGATGATGATGCTGCTGTTGATGTTCATGATGCTGATGATGATGAACATGATACTGATGAGGATTAGGAGGACGAACAGGGTGATGGTGATGATGATGGTGGTGATGATGGTGATAATGATGAGGAGGATAAGGAGGACGCGGAGGACGAGGAGCAGGATGATGACCGATGAGGACAAGGACGAGGAGGAGGACCGAGGAGCAGCAGGAGGAAGATGAGGTTGAGGTTGAGGTTGAGGTTGGGGTTGATGATGACGATGATGTTGCTGCTGATGATGCTGATGATGATGATGATGATGATGATGATGATGATGATGATGATGATGATGATGATGCCCTGTCGGTGGTTGCCCTGTCCTGGGAGACGTTCGGCCCGCTGCACGCGGCGAGCGTGGAGGCCCTGGAGGAGCTGGCCCGGCGCGCGGCCTCCGGCGGCGGCAGGGAACCCATGCGCCTGGCGCGCGCGTGGAGAGCGGCAGCGGGGCGTGCGATGCTGTACGCGGAGGCGGACGGCGTGATGCTGTCGCTCGGGTCGGAGGCCGGGGCGCACGCTGGAGCGATGCAGGCTCCCGGGCTGGCAGCCGGGGCCGGCGACGCCGAGGAGGCGGGCAGCGCGGAGGCCGACAATGCGGCTGCGCACCGCCGGCTGGACGAGCTCGTCGAGGACCTCATCGCCGCCGCGGAGGCGGAGGGCGATGGGAGGGAGCCAGCGGGGGCAGGGCGTGGCAGCACGTGTGAGCCAGCGCATGTCGTTCGTTTCGGATTGGATTCTTCTCATGGTGTGTGTGTCATGATGATGATGATGCTGATGCTGATGATGATGAATATGATAATGACGATGATGATGCTGATGATGATGATGATGATGATGATGCTGATGATGATGATGATGATGATGATGATGATGATGATGCTGATGATGATGATGATGATGATGATGCTGATGAGGAGGAGGAGGAGGAGGAGGAGGAGGAGGACGATGAGGATGAGAGTGAGGAGGAGGAGGAGGAGGAGGGGGATGAGGAGGAGGATTGAGGATCAGGGATCGAGGATCGAGAAGCGAGCATCGACGAGGAGGAGGAGGAGGCGCAGAAGGAGGAGGACTGAGGATGAGGGGCATTCGGAGGAGGAGGAGAACCGAATCGGAGGAGGCCTGTCTGACGAGGAGGGTGAGGAGGAGGAGGAGGGGGAGGAGGAGGAGGGAGGAGGGGGAGGAGGAGGAGGAATGAGGAGGATGAGGAGGATCGAGGATGGGACTTCCTGACAATCTATTCAGACGCCGCGCCCTGGACACTCAGGAATCACGCTCTCGCTGTGGATTTCCTAACGATTTATTTGGGAATCGCGCTATCGCTCGAGACTTCCTCGCGATTCATGCAGGACACACGCTTCAGCAACCCGCCTGCTCGACGGTCGAGCCTCGACCTGGCCGCCTGGGCCCGCCTTCCCGACCCGCCCGTTAGGGTCTGCCCCCCCCCCCCCCCTCCCTCCTGATACTTTCTCTCGTGCTCGATCCCCATCTCTCCCCCCCATTGTCCCTTCCTTCCATCCGTCCTTCCTTCCCCGGTCTTAGGGGCTGCACGAAATACGCGTTGCAGGTGCGAGATATATCTCAAAGGGGGTAGGATTGAAGACTATGAGGGTGGGTGTCGAGGGTTTGGGGTATACGTGTTGAACGGGCACGCGAGCAGATGACGACGAACAGCCTTGAAGTTATTGTTGCTGTTGCTGTTGCTGTTATTAAACCCTCACTAGCGAAGAATAAGTATACATATAACGGCGCACCGGGTCCGGGGCCCCGGGGCCGGGACCTCGACCACAAATGTGGGCCCCGGAGGGCCCGGAGGCTCGTCGGACCGCCGAACGCCGTCCAAGATCGTTCGCAGGCGGCTTCGGAACGCGCTCCGATGGCTCCAGATGCCTTCCAAGACGCCTGTCATGACACCAAGAAGGTCCCAGAAGCTTCCAAGACGCTCCGAGAGGCAGCCCAAGAGAGGCCAAA